GCTGGCATTTAAATCCGAAGTCCAAACTCACATAAGTCTTCTCAAACAAATCTCTAGTTCTGTTAATCTCAAATATACAGAAATAATGGCTGATACGAAACAATACACATTCCGAGAGAAACGCGGACTTATTAACGGAATAGGTTCGATATGGAAATCAATTACAGGCAACTTAGATTCGTCAGATGGCGAATATTTCAATGATTGTATAAATAAAATAACCCGCGATGAATATCAAATCGAAAACTTATTGAAAAATCAAATATCGGTTACAACTTCTGTTATTAAAAACTTTAACGCCACAATCCAGAAATTACAAATAGACGAGGAAACATTCTACAATAATATTAAAGAAATTCGAGAGTCAATAATGGATATCTCTGACCAATTAAAATTCTACCAATCTCAAATCGATATGCTAAACTTTTGTGAATTACTAATGGAAAGCTATTCATTTATCGAAGACTCTTTAAATGAAATAGTAAATGCCATAACCTTTGCTCGATTAAAAATATTACATAGCTCAATCATAACCCCGTTTGATTTAATTGAATCGCTAAGGCATATATCACAATCACTACAAAAAAATAATCTTCCATTATCAATCTATACTTCAAATCTAGCTCAATATCTCGATATTATCGAATTGCAAGCCTATCAATTAGACACAAGAATTGTGTTTGTCTTAAATATTCCTTTAACTGATGCAGAACAATATACTTTATATCGTATCTATCCAATACCAATACTGGATAATCGAACAGGTCTTCATTCAATATTAACAACAACAAATAAATACATTGCGCGAAATGATGATTCATTGTTATACCTTACAATAAATAGCCTTGAGTCATGCAAAACTTTGCGAGCTCGAACCAAGATCTGTTACAACACACTTCCATACCCAATCGACAGCGATGCCATATGCGAAGCCCAACTTCTGAAACGACAAGAACGCCTTCCCAGAACATGCCAGACTTCCGTAGTATTTGCCAAAGATTACAACGTCCAGAAGATCAACATAAACCTGTGGCTCATAACAGTTTCTGATCCACTGCCTATTACCATCAAATGCGAATCCAGAGACGTTAAATCGGAGATTATTTACACAAACCATGTACTCAAACTACAACCCACGTGCGATGCCTTTATTGGAAGTACAAGAGTACACTCTCAGAAATTAATCGACGTTCATGACAATGTTACATACAGAAGTCACCCAGTCCAAATTCCATTCAATTGCTGCAAACACTTCCCAGATAAAATCCATCTTCCCGACTTAAAACCACTGAAGCTTAGCAGAATCAATACTGAAGACCTCGAGATAGCCCATCACAAACTCAATCAGTATTCTGAAGAACTCGATAAACTAATCAATGAACCGTTTGTCAACAAACATCTGAGCTGGTTCACCATTTTTACCATAGTTGTCATTGTAACTCTTGTTGTTCTTTATGTTATATGTAAATGCAGATCCAAGAGAAGATACAGGATAGGAATTGGCAATACCAATGACAATGACCATCCGCCCTCTCCACCAAGACACCCAGAGACAGCCTTCACCCGGAATTGGAGAAAAATCCTTCCAAGACAAAGACCCAGTATCCACCTAAGCGACGCCATAGACGAAGAAGAGCAGATCCAACTTAACAGCAATAAACAGACGGTCTAAAAGTTGCTGCCACGCATCAACTTTCATCTAAAAGGGGGAGCTGTTATATGCATTGTACCAACCGATGTTCCTTATCACGACGATTCCCAGGGTATCAGGTTCCACTTCCAACAACCTGAGCCGATAAGGATCCTTGCAAATGCAGTACCAGCAGAGTCAGCGGGACCCAAGCTTTTTACACGTTCCCACTGAGTCAGCATTTACTAATATTATAAAACCGCTTGTCGCTCTTAATTCAGTATTCAGTATATTTTTGTAGTTCATTCATTATATTTTATATTTCATTCATTTTTACCACGTAACTTGTATTTTGTAATAAATAAATTTTTTAAAAAGTCAAAAAAGTGTTTCGTGATATAAAATATATATATATATTATATATATATATATATATATATATATATATATATATATATATATATATATATATATATATATATATGTTTCATTAGATAATGTCCAACGTGAAAATGCTATTAAACATAACGAAAATGTGAAGAATAATCACTCAGTTTTACGTCGTTTAATTAATATTGTAATTTTTTAAGTTGTCTGAAATTATCTTTTAGGGGACACGATGAATCATTCGTTAAATCAAGGTAATTATAGAGAACTAATAAAAATGTTGTGAGAACTAATAAGAAATACGATTTGCAATTTTCTATTTTACTTTCTGATTCGAAGACATTTAGTATCTAAAACAATCCAGAATGAATTAATAGAATCAATTAGTTACATTTTGAGTGACGTTATTGAATCTGAGATTCAGGAAACCATTTGCTTTTCACTAAAAGTAGATGAAACTATTCACAATTATCAATTGTTGTTTGATACGCATTACGTGGTAATATCTATGAGAGGTTTTTAGGTTTTACAGACGTGAGTAAAAGCCATAAAGCAGAATATATTTTTGGTGTTTTAAAGGACAGATTAAAATTTTTTGATATCAAAAATAAATTGGTAGGGCAAACTTATGATAGCGCTGCCGTGATGTCTGATGAATTAAATGGTCTCCAGGCAAAAGTTAAAACTATTGCACCGCAAGCTTTATTTACTCACTGTCATGCGCATAGAATGAATTTAGTTTTGCAGGATACATGTAAAAAAATTAAAGAATGTCGTCTTTTTTTGCCAGTTTAAGTGGATTTGCTTCATTTTTCTCAAGCTCGCCTAAACGGACTAATGTTTTAGAACGGTTTGTTTCGAAAAAAAAATGCCAACAGTTTGTCAGACGCGATGGAATTTTAAATCTCGGTTAGTTTTCACTGTAGCAGATTTTCGTAAACGGCCTTTGGAAGTTTTTGATTTTTTTATTGAATGTGACGATTTTGAAAGTGATGATATTTCGATCCGTGAAGCAATCGGTTTGAAAACTTTATTAAATGATTACTCTTTTAACATACTTTTAAATATTTTTAAGAAAGTGTTTACCCAAACCGATTTGATATTCAATGTTGTTCAAAATCAGTTAACTGGCATTATTCATTCCAAAAATAGAATAACAAGACTGGTGCAAAATCTCAGAGATTTTCGTAATGATAGTAATTTCCAGTATATAGGTACGCAGTATTGTACTCGCTTGATATTTCCGAACCCAGAAAACAAAACATCTCCTATGATGATTGAAGTCTTTATTAGACGGTATACCTATCTGAGGAGACAAAAATACCTTGCCGACCTTATCTATCAAGCCACGAGCCGCCACTGATTCTGACGATACTGCAATTCCAGCACAAACCTTAGATGATCTGTAACATAATAATATATTAGATAGGATTGATGTCACTTTTATAAACTTTTTGGGCTTAAGATCAACGCTACTAAGACCAAATTTATGGCAGTAGGTTTACAGCCAAGACGGTCAACACTATCTCGATAGTCGATGGAAATACTATAGAGCAAATATCACGATTTAAATATCTAGGCTATAGTTAATGGAAAATGGGAATGCGATAAAGAGTTAAACTAAGAGTCAATTACGCAAGAACAGCGTTTGTCAAACTTAAAAATTTCCTAATACTAATAGCTTGCAGTCTCCCATTTACCCTTAAACTACGTGTTGTGAAGTGCTACATATGGCCCATTTTATTTTATAGAGCAGAGACGCGGTCTCTCAAAGTTTGATTACTAAATCGCATTCAAGTATTTGAAATATGGACTTTCCTGAGTCTCTAGCGAATGCCACACGCACATGCCACGAATGAATCAATTTTAAGAACAGCAGGGTGTGAACGAGAATTTCTTAACAGAGTTGAGAGAAAAATTTGCTATCTTGGCCATGTCTTAGGGGAATCGAATACTTTATTCCCAGATTAATTTTACAAGAAAAGATACAGGGACACCTAGGAATAGGAAGAAAACAAAATTTTCGTGACTGAGAAACATAAGGGACTGATGTTATATCATAGATGTAGTAGCCACAATATTTCAGTGTGCCAAAACAGGTACTCTACAAATGATTTAAAGAGTACAGACAACTGCCAACGTGCGGCCAAGCATACAGCACATGAAGAAGAAAAAGTATTCTTTAGTATGAGAACTAGCCATGTCAAATTATCATCATTATCAATGGCGTTACAGCTTGTTAATGCTAAAGACTTCTCTAAAATATTTCTACAGTTCACTCTATCTCTGGAAAATGTTCTCCATCCTTTAACACCAATATATTTTATCTTCTAGTTATTCTGGTACCTAAGATTTGGTCTTCCATTGGTTCGTCATGCCACCGGCCCTTTCACAACATCAGGCTTCTAAAAAACTTCTATACAACTCAAAGTTGTATCGCTTGTGCCAAAATTCTTATTCTTTTACTGGTCTATTAATTTTTTATAGAATCTTTCACTCAAAGCCCTTAATAAAGATCCTGTAATGTTGTGTAAGTTTAGACGTTTCTGCTCCAGTGGATCATAGAGCCGTCGATGCCGTTGTTGCTGGGATTGACATTTTAAATTATATTTTTAGTTTAATTAAACCTGTGTTTTATTGATTCTGCTATCTTAAAGAACTATCTGTCACAATTTGATCAATTTTATGACAGAAATTAATATCCTACAAATCCTTACATCCGCAAATCTATCAATCTTTAGCAGCACTACAAATGATTTCGTAATTTTTTTTATACAGTGATTATCTTAAGTATCTTCTTTTACCTACCTTTTTTTGTTTTCGCATGTCTTGATAAAAAGAATAAGAAGACAGATCCGCCGTAATCTATTTTATTCCTTATTTCGGTATATCAATTTAAAACATTTACAAAACATTATAGTTCATATTTATTGTAAGATTTTAAAAGTTTACAGAAAATAAAAAAGGATCCATTACTCTTATTTTATAAGTCAGTTTTTTGCAAACTTAATGCAACTGCCGCTTGTTCAGTATAACTTTGTGACGTCATTGTTTGTTTTATACTGCAGGAAGATCCAATAGCTAAAATAAAATAATAGAACAAATATTAAAAATGCGAAAAAATCTATTAGTACATGTATTAAGTTTGTATGTATGTTATTAAGTTTTTCAGAAAGATTGCGAAGTATCTGATAAAACCTGTTAGTTAATATCTACGAATTATTGATTAATTTATTATTCTTGTATAGACAAGAATATAGGAATGTAGGTCATAGGACCTACGCTTCTGAAATTAACTAATCTTTTAAACAGTTAAAGCAGTTTAACCCAAAAAGTTGTAGAGCATTATCATCACAGCAGTGGAAGGGACAATCTTAATTAAACTTTTCAAATATTCATAACGAATGAGGTACAGTAGAACCCAGATTGCGCGGTTTGTCCGGGCTAAGGATTATACGCGCTATGATTCTCATTATTCAAATTACATTTTTGATGTTTTATCGAAATAACCAGAAACGAAGAAATAAGAATAACTACAGAACAGGCGTCACAGATGGCATATAGCACATGGCGTGGCTGAAGTGGAACTGGGCGGGCCATGTGACTAGAATGAATGACGGGCGGTGGGCCCAAAAATTACAGTATGGAGACCACGAGCTGACAGAAGAAGCAGAGGTAGACAACCTCTGAACAGACGACGTCAAAATAATCGCTGCAAATTGAACACAATAAGCTCAAGAACTTGGCTTTCCACAAAAACTAGTCAGGTTGATACGGATGTTATGGAACCGTTACGATGTAAGGTGAGAGTTGGACGATAATACTCGGAGACATTTGAAGTAAACAATGGACTAAAACAGGGAGATGCACTTTCACCACAACTCTTCAACTAAGCTCTGGAGCACATAATCAGAATTGCAAGAATCGAAAAACCTAATACAGTATTTCATCAAGAAGGACCAAACTTACTACTGGCATTTGCAGACAATATCGATCTAATAGAAAACACACGATTAAGGATGAAGGAGACTTTCGTGAGGTTTGAGAAGGAAGCAGAGAAGATGGGGCTCCAAATCAACGAAAACAAGACGAAATATATGTATATGAGCCGCAATAACCAAAGCAGAGACAGAGTCGGTCAGAACATCACCATCGATGACTTTAATTTTGAGCGCGTTAGAGAATTCAAGTATCTTGGAACAACAATAACTGAAGACAATAATGGATCACAAGAAATAAACAACAGGATTCAGGACGGTAACAGATGTCTTTTTGCCCTCCAAAACTTTATAAAATCAAAACAACTAACACGACGTACGAAGATACAGGTCTATAAAACAATCATACGACCCGTTGTGATGTATGGAAGCGAAACGTGGACAATAACAAAGGCAAACGAAGAGAGACTATGTGTTTGGGAAAGAAAAATCCTAAGGAAGATCTTTGGTCCTGTGCTGGATGAAGCATCAGGACAATATAGGATAAGAACTAACAAAGAGCTCGAAGAACTTTACCCAGACGCCAACATCATACAAGAAATAAAGTCCAGAAGACTCCAATGGGCAGGACACCTCAGAAGACATTCTGATGAACGAACAGTAAGACTGGTGTGGGAGGAAGTCCCAACTGGAAGGAGACCACGCGGACGCCCTCGTCTCCGGTGGCGAGATAATGTAGCAGGAGACCTAAGCACTATGGGCGTGGAGAATTGGATGGAGGTTGCTCAAGACAGAAAACAGGGGAGGCATGTTGTCGAGTCGGCTAAAACCCACGAAGGATTGTAACGCCACGGAGTAAGTAAGTAAGTAAGTAAGCTCAAGACCGACAGAATTGGAAGACTTTAAGGAAGGTCTATGTTCAACTTTGAACGCAGAAGGTTTGATGATAAAGATGATCGAAATAGTGTCACCGTAAATGACTCAATGAAAACTATATACGCTTTGAGGGAGACGCATAATGCAATACCAATAGAGCCAGTCAGTGCTCGGGGAATCCCTGGAGCGTGGGACGTTATGCCGAATATATGAGATTTAGTTGCGCACTATCTCTAAATTCAGCCACAGAATCGAAGCAAAGCTATTATGGCGGTATACCATGAAAACTGCCCGAAAAACAAGGAAGAATACTGGCGATATACTACAGTCTGGTAGAACAACGGCTTAAAAATATAAGGGCAGAAGTCCGAAGTCTATTTAACAAAGCCAAATGTAACCAAGACTGGGATTCCTACAGGTATAATCTAACGCTATACAATAAAGAATTTCTCAAAGCCAAAAGGAGTTCATGAAGGGAGTTTTGCGAAAAGAATGGTTAGACCATTAGAGAAGTAGGATACCTAATTAAAGCTAATGTCAAATTTACGGAGACCAAAGAAAAAAATCTTTTCTCAGAGAATTCATAAACACGCTCTTTTTGGCTTCAAAAATTCCGAATGATGCACATAGGCGAACCAACATAGACCCCCAGAAGCCACTAGGTCAAGTTCTATAGGACGAGAAATATCCACAGCAATCACAATACCGGGCAGAATTAGATGAGCTATAAATAAATTTCAGCCATATAAGTCTCCAGGGATAGATGGCACAGATCACAATATATATATATATATATATATATATATATATATATATATATATATATATATATTCTCATCGGCCCAGTCTCCTTCTTGAAGACCTCTATTTTCCATTTCTATATGAATATTGGATATTCATTTCTTTCTTGGCCTTCCCCTTTTATTTCTCTGTGTAGGTCTCCAGTTCCAAACCTTTCGTGGTATCCTTTCTTCATTCATCCGTCTCAGGTGTCCATACCATTTTAATTGTTTTTCGGCTATCGTATCCATTATTGTGTTCTTTACTTTCATTTTCTCTCTTATGTTTTCATTTCTTATGTGGTCAAACAAAGTTAACCCGGAACATCTTCTCTTGTTAAAGACCCACACTTCTGACCCATACGTCAGCACCGGCTGAATCATAGCCTGATATATATTTTTCTTTGTTTTCTTAGTTAAAGTTTTATTCCACAGGATCAGATGTAGTGTTTTTATCATGTTTTTCCTTTTCCTATTTTTCTTGTGATATCTTTGTCGTCTCTCCCGTCTTCGCTTAGTGTAACTCCGAGATATTCGTAATGATTTTATTCGTTTTAATCAACGTTTTTAATTAATCCGCTTTCTGTTTCCATGTCTTGACCGATGCCTCCTATATTCATGTATTGTGTCTTTTCGGTATTAACTTCTAATCCCCATTTTTTGAATTCGTCTATTAGTTTGTTTATCATGTACGTCATATCTTGTAGGTTCTCGACAAGAACTACCTGGTCGTCTGCGAAGAGGATTGTTTATATAGGAGTGACATTTACCCATATGCCTATTGGGCTGCATTTTCTCATCCAATATTTTACAGCATTACCAAGATATATTTTAAATAGGGTTGGGGAGAGGCAAGAGCCCTGTTTGACACCCTTTGTTTGGGTGAAACCCTTGGAAATTTGGTTTCTAACCTTAATATAAGCTTGGTTATCTTCATATAGCTTTTTCACGGCATTTATATATACTGCATTTATACCTGCGTTTTCCAATGTTGTCCATAGTCTCTGCAGTGGTACTCAAACGCTTTACGGAGATCTATAAAAGTGGCATGAAGTTCTAGTCCTCTTGCTAATCTCTTTTCCGTTAGATGTTTGAGAGTAAATACATTGTCGACACAAGATCTCCCTGGAATTCACTTTGTTCTTCGATCTCTGTGGCTTCTTTTTCTATTCTGGCTTTCAGAACTCTTTCATACAGTTTGCCAGTGGATGATGTAATGCTGATACCTCGGTAATTACTGCAGTCATTCTTGTTTCCCTTTTTGTAGATATATCACAATACTTTTGCATATGGGATTAGAGGTATTGATAACACATATATGCACGATCAAAGCCAATTTAGCATGGGGGGTCGTACCGGAAATATGGCAAAATGTTAAAGTCTGGCCCAAGGTATGTAGTGGCTTAAAACCATTTAAAGTGTTATGTTAACCATGTTAATAGAAAATTGCTGCCGATATATTATATCGACGATTAATTTTTAAAGCGATGATGATCGATGTTTAAATCTTTTCTGTAACATATCTATTTATATCCATGTAACATATAAATTTTCAATTAGATTGACTCAAATATTTGTATTCTTTAGGGTTCTTGATTATTTTTTGAATTATGTTTAAACCTCGACTTCAACTTCAATTTACCACCATAAATTTCCAGTATCTGTAATTTTATTAACATGATCTTTTATAAACCGGTTTCTGTCTATGAGTAGATCGTAATTATTATTATCTTAAAAGCAGAATAAATTATAGAAATAGATATACTGACCTTGAGAAATGGAGATTTTGTTACCATGTTCCCCATATACCCAGCAACGGTACTGGTACACGGGATCTGATTCGTCGTAGGTTAACAAATAAGACTTCTCGTTTTCGGTCCAATATGATATACATTTGAAAACATAGTCAGGTTCATCTAAAGGTAAAAACCAGTTTATTAAATATACAATTTTAGTCAAAAGAATAATATATTAAAAATTTTTTTGTATGATTAATATTACGGGATGTATTATAAAAGCTTAAGAACTATGAACTACAAAACCATGAATATATCGCCCATACATATATTCAATAAAGATCTATCCTATTGAATATATTCACTAGGATAGATCTTTATTTCAAATAGGTCACTTAATATACAAAAAAGAGTTTTAACTTAAATATATTTTTTACATTTAAACAAAAGAAAATCAAGCCAGAATCGCAAATGATCAATAGCTACCTCAACAGCTACAATATGCTCAATAAAAGTATCCATGTTTGAAACTTGTTTTGGATTGGAAGCATAATAGTAAAAGGCCACCTGGCATAGCCTTAATGAGTCATGTCTTGAAATTGTTTTTAAAAGTAATTCACAATAGAATACGACATAAGAAATTAGATGAAGGCATAAGTAATACACAAATGGGATTTAGGAAAGGACTGGGAACACGAGATGCACTGTTTGCATTAAGTGTTCTTTCGCAGAGATGCTTAGATATTAATCAGGAAGTATATGCCTGTTTCATTAATTTTGAGAAGGCATTTGACAGAGTGCAGCATAATCGACTTAAAGAAATTTTATTAAATAAAAACATAGACAGTAGAGACATTAGAATCATCTGTAACCTCTATTGGAATCAAACAGCAAAAGTGAAAGTTGAAAACGAACTGACCAAGGATATCCAGATTCGCCGTGGTGTCCCCCAAGGGTGTATTTTATTACCCTTGTTATTCAATTTATACAGTGAAGCCATCTCAGAATTAGCGCTTGCCGAGATCAGTGAGGGCCTTATAATAAACGGTGAGCCACTTAATAACATAAGATATGCTGACGACACCGTCCTTCTGGCAGGAACACTAGAAGAACTGCAACACCTTGCTGAACAACTAAATATATATTGCAACGATTATGGACTAAAAATCAATTTGAAGAAAACCAAGTTCATGGTATTTACAAAAGCACAAAACATCAAAGTTAAGCAAGTACTAAATAATACAGAAATTAAACAAATATTTTCGTACAAATACCTTGGAGCATGGATTACAGAAGATACTGATCAGACAAAAGAAATAAGATGCCGCATTGAAATTGCGCGATCAACTTTTAATAGAATGAGAAAACTTTTTTGTAATCGCGATATCAACATATCGCTCCGGATAAGAATGCTTCGATGTTATATTTTCTCTACCCTTTTGTATGGGAAATATCATGGATGGATCGCAAAACAAACGAACAAGTTCTCGAACAACTAGGAAAACAATGCGAAGTTTTAAATTCCATAAAAATCACGAAATTGGAATACTTGGGGCACATCATGAGAGGTGAAAAGTACGAACTACTAAGGAATAGAATGCAGGGTAAAATCAAAGGTAGAAGAAGCGTAGGAAGACGTAAAATCTCGTGGCTACGCAATCTCCGTGAATGGTTTGGATGCAATTCAATTGAACTATTCAGGCGAGTAACCAATAAAATTATAATTGCCAGAATGATTTCCAATCTCCGACAGGAGTGGAACTTGAAGAAGAAGAAGAACCTGGCAAGATGTTTAGTCCAGAATTTAAAATCGATTGAAACCAAAGGCATTCCAATATATGACCTTTTGAAATATGAACTTTTGAAAATGACGATGGTACGGAACCTAAAATACAATGGGTTGTACCTAAAAGTAAAGTGTCAGAAATATTGCGTCTGTTACATGACGGTGCATCCGGTGGTAACTTTGGTATTATGCTTGAACAAGGATTGGGTCTAAGGTATTATAACGTAAAATTATCTAAATCGTTCGATAACGGTCCTATCGAGTAAACTGTAAAGAAGATGTATGAAGATAGGGCCAAAATTGCGAATTTTGTAGAAGGAGCCACAGACCAGTTGGTAGCAAGAATGCATCCAAAAAACAACACCAAGAATGCGTCCAGAACACAACACAAGAGGTTAGCAACTATTGATATTGCAGAACCCTTCTCAGAAGTAAATACAATTTAGCAGACCATGATTCTGGATGATGATCAGTCAGGTAGATTACTGAAAATTTTATAGAAACTTGTTGTCGTAATTGCTTGTCATTTTGTATTTTATCAGGTCATCATCATTTGTTGTAATTGTTTTAAGTGAAATATTAGAAAGTGAAGAAAGACGATGTGAAAGAGATAAAAAGGTATAAATGACAGTAGTAGTGGGCAAATGAGAGTTCTAGCCGCACCCCTCGTAACCCACCACCAACGACCCCACTCCTTTGTATACCAGCCGCCATTAACCCTACTACTAAAGGGATAAGAATTCTCGCCGCATACCCCACCCCTTGGTATAACCGTCGCCACTTTGTATACCCAGCCCACTTTGGAACATCAGAAAAAATATATACACATATGTTGTTGACAATTAGAGGACAGTAGTATTTTGAGTTTTAAAGTTTATAGTTGTATTAAATATTGTTAACAAGTTGGTGTTCAATAAAGTTAATTTTCAAGAAGTGAAACATTGGTAACAGCGGTGGGATTAAAGAAATAACAAACAATTGTGAATGGTTAATACGATATCTACCGAATTTAATAAAGAAATGGATACGTCCGGGCAACTTTCATGGTTTTCAAAATAAAAGAAGATGAAAAGAAACATAAGCAAGAGGAGAACGAGAAGAAGAAGCGTAGCGAGGTGAAGGAGAAAAGTAGACAAGAAGAGGAAGAGAGACGTAGAAGAGTAGAGATACAAATCATAAGTAGTTTATCTCAAATGCAAGAAAATTTTCTGTTGGTGGTGAGTCAAATCACTATTAGAATAGATAAATTAGAAGAACACAGAATGATTTAGAAAATAAATTAGTAGATGAACAAAAGGATTTGAAAACCGATTTAGAAAATAAATTAACTCAATATCAAAAAATATGACTTGGAGACCTCTCATAAAGAAAATATCGTCCGCTCCACCCGTCACTCAAAATTTCACTGTCAGAAATGTACGCAACAACCCCAAACATCATCGACGGTCAAAATGTACCGGCCTCTGTTCCCAGTACCAGTAACGCATTGGTTAGTGATCAGTGTAGAAGTGTCTGAGGGCTCGGAAGACTGATACCTCGGAAGCTCTGAAGAAGACATCAAAGAGGATGTTGAAAGCTCGGCGCAATGATAATCGACGCAGTTCAACCCGTAATACTGTTGAGTTTAATATTAATTCCTGTACTAGTAATAATCTTAGCTCTAAGTTTAATTATACTAGCCGCGGAAATATTTTCAAGCATTATATATATATATAGGTTAAATTGTACCCTGTTTTCAATGAATGTAATGATTTCAATTTTGGCGGTAAATATATTTTCCGCCAAATATATTTAAAGTATTGCCCAAAATTGAAAACAAACTAATTAGTAGATATATATTTCATTATTGTCTGCTCTTATATATTTTTGTCTATCTTAGTACTTTAATAATAACTTACTTATAATCTTATTTTCCTCTCCTGGAGAGCAGGACTTTTTAGTTATAAGAATTTCAGTCTGTGCATCCGATACTCTAAATTCAGAAAATGTGTTTTTACATTTTACCTCTTGATCTGGAGTTATCGTTTTGGGATTCCTAAAAAAATTAGAAAATTAACAATCATTGAAATACATTAATTAGATTTAAAGTTTAGTCAATATTAGGCTACACAAAAGCTCACTTAACATCTATGCTGGTATGTGACGAAAATAGATCGAGTGGCTTGGATAGAGACGCAGTTATCTAAACAGGTCACTTTAGTACTGGTAAACGAAGCTTTAGCATACGCTAATACAGTAACTAAAATATCAGGTGGCAGGTAACACTCTTCTACAATTCCAGTAGAAAACAGGCTGCTACAGGGATTATGCCTTATGTTAGCTTCTGGTTCTCTCTCCTTCCTTGCCTGAGGGGGCCAGGTCCTCATACCTTTTTCCTATCTCTCCCCTTTTAAAACTCCCACCTTCATCCTACCCTCTACTAACTCGCACTGGCCAGCGCGGTAGAGTATGGCTAAAATCCAAGCATGCTTGACACGACAAAAACACGGCCCTCAGTCCCCGGCAGTGAGCTGATCCTTGGTCAAGGTAGCGATCAAGAAAGACAGAAAACAGAGCGTGCGAAGAATCCCCGCGCCAGATCAAGCTACCACGGACGACGACAAATGTATATCGCCCCGTACAATGGTACGTTAAGGGTCTCTCTGAAGTAAGACGTGAAGAAGAAGCCTGTATAACACTTAAATCAGGGCATCAACTTTTCTATATGGGAAACAAAGAAAAAATAGGAGGAGTTGGACTTCTTATACATAAGAGACACACGAAAAATATCCAACAACTTAAAGGTATCAACCCAAGAATAATACTCTGCATACTGAAGCTTAATAAAAAAAACTAGCTTTAAAATAATTCAAGCCTATGCACCTACATCTACACACTCGGACGAGGAAGTGGAAACCTTTTATGACGACCTAGAAAATGCAGTAAAACTAGCGCCTACTACACACAACCTAGTAATGGGTGACTTTAATGCTAAGTTGGGATGTAAACTGGACGGGATCGAAGTTGCAATAGGTCCCTACGGATTCGGACAAAGAAATGAAAGAGGCGAAATGTTTTTGGGTTTCTTGGTACGAAATGGCCTCTTTGCAATGAATAGCTTTTTCAAACAAAGTCCCCAAAGAAAATGGACCTGGGCAAGTCCAGATGGAGTCACCAAAAATGAAATTGATTTTGTCTTAACCAACAACAAAGACATGATCCATGATGTAACAGTTCTTAATAGCTGTTCAGTGGGAAGTGATCATAGAATGGTAAGAGCGAAGATCGTGCTAAATCTCCAAAAACAAAGATACAAAATGATAACAAAAACACACCCAATAGGATGGAATCCAATCGAAAACACCATGTCCTTCGAAGAGGAAATTCTGAGATGTCTAGAGACAACAAATATAGACGTTATGGATGTCGAAACCTTAAATGATAACTTAATAAAAGCTATTAAGAACGCAGAGAAAAAGTGCAATACAAATTCTAGGAGAGATAAGGAGGAAAAAATCAGTCAAGAAACAAAAAGACTTATGGAGGCACGAAGAGAACTTAAGAACAAAAACGATACGAATGCACGCGTACTACAACAACTTAATAAAGATATTAATAAAGCAGTGAGAAAGGACGTACGACAATATAACACAAAAAAGATTACAACGGTTGTCGAGAAAAATAAAAGTTTAAAGGTGCTGAAGAGATGTCAAGCTCTAGGTAAGAAGAATATTGTTAAGCTCGCAAATCGAAATGGAAAAGTGGTAACAGATAAACATGAGATAATTAAGGTAGTTGAAGAATTTTACACAGAATTATATAAAGAAATGGGTAAGAAAGACGGCACCAAGTTGAGAAAAGTCCAGAGTGTGGGTTCAGAGGATATCCAGGATCAGAAATAACAATCGAAGAAGTCTCAAAGTCATTAAATCGAATGAAAAACAATAAAGCAGCTGGTGATGACCAAATCGTTATTGAGGCAGTTAAAGCAGGAGGAAAAACAGTATTGAAAGCATTGACACAATTATATAACATATGTCTTTCAAAAGAGGTTACACCATCTCAGTGGAATAAAGCTGTTATAGTAGTCATGCTCAAAAAGGGAGATATAACAGAGCTAAAGAACTATAGACCTATTAGCTTGTTCTTCTTCTTCTTCTTCGTCTAGCCATTCACGTCCACATCTGAACATAAGCCTCTTCAAGTCTTCCTTTCCATTGTTTTTTATTGTACGCTACTTGTAGCCAATTTTTCCCGGCAGTCCTTTTCAGATCATCTGTCCATCTCATAGGAGGTCTGCCTCTGGGTCTTTTGTGTTGGTATGGTCTCCAGGTTAAAATTGATCTGTGCCATTTGTTTAGATCGCTCCTAGCTACATGTCCAGCGTATTCCCATTTCAGCTTTAATGCTTTTTGCACCACATCGGTGACTTTGGTTTTCTGTCTTATCCATGTGTTTGTTTTCTTGTCCTTAAGTGATATACCTAGCATTGCTCTTTCCATCGCGTGTTGAGTGACTCTAAGTATATTCATATTCTTTTTTGTGATTGTCCATGTTTGTGCCGCATAAGTTAATATCGGAATAATGCATGCATCAAAAACTTTAGATCTAAGATGTAATTGAATTTGTTGATTTCTGAGTATATAGTTCAGTTTACCGAATGCTGCCCAAGCTAACTTTCTTCTTCTTTTTATTTCTTCAGTCTGAATTTCCCTATTTATAATTATTTTTTGTCCCAAGTATATATATTCTTCAAGAATATATATACTTGAAGAATATTAGCTTGTTATGTCACGTTTATAAGTTGTTTATGAAGATAATAACTAATAGGTTGACATCAAAACTAGACTTCTATCAACCTTGCAAGCAAGCAGGATTTAGAGCTAGATATGGAACAAATGATCATTTACAAATGTTTAAATTGTTGATTTAAATTGACTGGTCGCTGGTTAATCGTGGTGGTAAATATTTGATCGATAGGGTGAAGAAATAACTTGTAAAACCAAATCTCTTCACACGTTCTTTATTGAGTGCTCTTATGGCAACATATGGAAACATACTGATCTTATAACTTTATAACGACTTTGCCGAGGGCTGACAGGGTTGCCGTCTAGACAACTAAATCTTATTGCTAGGAATTATACATAGAAAAGAAATATATTGAAATAATTTTAAACAAACTCCCCCGTTGAAGGGTACCTTCAAAATAGATAATAAATATAAATAAAGTCTTACGTATCAATACTATCACTAACACTCTCTTGCTGCATTGGCAACGGACACAAATGACGAATAGAACGAATAACAGTCTTATTGTTTGTTTTTACCTCTGCCACTCTTGAAAGTTTATCTTTACCCGAATGCAAACTAATAATACGTCCCAAAGGCCATCTACATGGTGGTTGTTGATAACTTCGAATTAACACTAAAGTTCCAATCTTCAAATGGGACGAAGATTCTCTCCATTTATATTGCTGTTGCAGTTGCGAAACGTATTCTTTCACATAACGATTCCAAAATTGTTGATACATATGACGAATCGTTTTGTAGTTGGAGAGCCTGCCTATAGGTATTGTGCTTAAGTCAGTGTCGGGAATGGTTGTAATAGGACGGCCAATCAGAAAATGGGAAGGAGTAAGTGGTGTTAGGTCAGTTGGGTCATTAGAGAGTGCAAACATAGGTCTAGAATTTAAGACTCACTCGATCTGAATTAGCAAAGAATTGAAATCTTCATAGACAAGGTTTTTGTCGAGTAACACCTTCTTTAAATGGTGTTTCATGCTTTTAACTGCCGCCTCCCAAAGACCGCCAAAATTGGGCGCGTACGGTGGAATGAAATGCCAATTTATATTATGATTAATAGCGTAATTGTGAATATAAGTATTATTTTTTAAAAGAAATTGACCAAATTGTTTAAGTTCATTGCGAGCTCCAACGAAAGTGGATCCATTATCTGAATAAATGTCATTGGGGATACCTCGTCGAGCTATGAAACGCTTCAAGCAGGATAGGAAACAGTCGGTTGTGAGATTTGTAATGAGTTCAAGATGAATTGCTTTGGTACAAAAGCACACAAAAACACAAACGTATCCTTTTATTTCTTTGGCTCCCCTACCCGATTTATTGTTGAGTAAAAATGGTCCTGCAAAATCTATGCCACAGTGCTGAAATGGCAGTGATGGGGTTGTGCGAGCTTCGGGCAAACTGGCCATTGGACAACTGGCAAATGTAGGTTTAAATTTAAAACAAGTAAGACAATTTCTTACTGTTTTTCTTGCAAGGTCTCTCCCTCGAATTGGCCAATAATATTGTCGAATTGATGAGAGAAGGAGTTGAGGACCTGCATGTAATAGGACTTTATGTTTATGTTCAAATAGCAACTTAGTGAAAGGATGGTTAGATGAAATTAATATAGGGTGTTTAGAGTTAAAATCTAATCCAGATAATCTGAGTCGACCCCCTACTCGTAATACATGGTTTTCATCTAAAAATGGAGTAAGATTTGACAGTTTATGTTTGATTGGTAATGGTTTCTTGGAATTTAAAATAGATAATTCCTCCGCGAATGAATCCAATTGTGCAAGTTTTATTAACCGCAATGATGCTTGTTCTACTTCGGAAAGAGTTAAAGGGCCTATCGTTCTTTCTGATCTTTGTTTACAAGCGTTATTACGAAATCGAAGACAATAACTAACGACATGTTTTAACGTTGAAATATTAGAAAATCGAGAGAATAGAAAGAGTGGTGCAGAGTGGGCAGCCATTAACATCGAGCTTTTAATCTTTTGTTCAGGAAGTTCAATTTCAGACATTGCAGGAGGTGCGGGTTTGTCTATAGGACCACGTAGAAAAATTGGCCCCTTCCACCACAATTCACGGTTAGCTAGATCTTCTGGTAAAACTCCTCTGGAAGCCAGGTCTGAAGGATTTTCTTTAGTGTTAACATAATGCCAATCATCTTTGTTGGTTAACTGTTGAATTTTGGCGACGCGATTGCCTACGAATTGTTGTAATTGATTAGGATCCTTTTGTATCCAACATACTACTATCTGAGAG